GTCAATGTCAAATCATTAGTAAATTATCAGTTTGATTTTAATATGCTTAATAACTGGGTCTTTATACTTTTAGATGCCCCGTGGCAAGTCCTACCGTCGCTCTGAGGTGGCTAAGTGGAGGATGTCGGAGCGACAGTTGGCCTCCAGTGACGCTGGTGCATGTATTTGGCGTGCCTTCTTGAAATCAACTTTTCATGTATATCCTTGCTGTATGACTGAGTTGAACTCCTAACTTTGTGTATTTTTATAGTCCTGAAAAGCTCACATATTGATGTGATTGATGATTAGAAGTTTTAGTTGTGTGTTTTCAGCCTAAAAGAAATCCTGTCTTTTGTTCCAGCTTGTTCTTCTTGTAGGGGCGTCCCATCTGCACTCCCTTGCAGATGGGATTGTGCTGATGCCAGAGGATTGCTACACCTTTGGCATCATGTCCACTCCAGGGGCGTGCGCTGACCAGCTCAGGACTGAGGATGAAAATGCTGTTCTTCCTTGGATCTCTGATGCTGTCTGTGTCATGGCCCCTAGGAACAACCTGACGGCCAGCAAGACGCCTAAGCAAGGAGGCATAGCTTTTGGCCAATACCTGGCCACTGTCTACAGCGTCTGGCCGACTGCACAGGTAGGTTATTCATGTATTCTTTTTAATGAGGCTGATGTGTTCAGGTCAATATGATTTTGTCATTAACCATTATTATTTTGTTTAGGTCTTCGCTGGGACCTTGTCCCACACTTGACAGTCCCGGGGGATATCCAAGAGTTTTTCCGGCATGACTCCGTTTGTCAGCACGTCTCGGTATGTTTGAAAATAATGATACATGGTTCTAAACAGTTTTATGAAGGCTTATGAGAATTATATATTTTACATATAATTTCTAATATTATACCCATTATGGTTTTCTAATAAGAAAGTTGACATTGCCTTTTTAAAATGTGTTTTTTCGTTTGTTTCTGTTCTTGTTCCTTTTTTTTTAAGGTGTGAAATATTTTCACCACGCTGACCGCTTCCCCCTGAACAACCGCAAGCTGTGGAGCTGTGAAGGTGTAAGTAGAATATATTATTTTCATATCATAAATAGAAAATTATTCAACACAGTATGTTTGACAGTAAAAGTCACATTTTTCAAAATAATATTTAAATTTTTTTTTTTGTCATTGTTTTGTGTTTGTAGGTGCACCCCAGTGACGACATGGGGATGCCTATTCTCGTGGAGTCGCTGTTGGCTGCCACCAAACAGCACCTGGAGATACCAGCACCTAAGTCACAGGTGTTGCGCCCGGTGTCTCCCAAGCCTCTGCCAAAGATGGTTCCACGTGTGATTGAGGTGGGGGCCCCTCCTGAGTGGACGTCTGTACAGTCGGGCAGGAAGGTAAGAGACTGAACTTTGTAAATATGTTTCATGAAATAAAAATAAGGTTGTGAATTGATCCACTTTTTTTTTTTTTTTGCTTTTTGTCATTACAGAGGAACCACTCTGAACATAAGCATGGCTCTGGTTCATCACAGAGATGAGTGGTTCATCATGTAGTATGTGATCTTTCATTTAACCATGATATTTACATAACAGTGATAGTTTGTGTGCATGTCTGTCAACACTGCCTTGCGAGAGTGTTTCATTCATATTGTATATGGATTACGCTTATGTAATATCACATAGGATAGTGTTGGGGTAGTTCCTAGGGGGTAGTCTAGCTGTTCTTAAGTGCATTCACAAGACACCCGAAGAAGCCCATAGAGATACTGTTTGTGTGTCAGAGGATAGTCAGGTGTCTGGTTATGGAAAGTTCAAAGAGACAACTCCGTAGTTCTGGTTGGAGGAGGGTTCCTTGGGGGTAGTCTAGCTGTTCTTTTAAGTGCATTCAATGGCACAAGACATGTTCCTGATCAAATATGTAATGTAATTAATGTATGTAATAATTTGCAATAAAATTGTATGATGTTTTACACCCTGGTTTCCCATCTCACTTAAATACTGAACCATGATACTGAACTGGTACATGGTAATGAATGGGACAGTTTCATCATCAGAAATTGTAAGAATGTTGTAATTTAAGAGTAAAAGTCAAGGAATGAGTTGTTTATATGTAGTCATTGCTTAATAGTAAGACAAAAGTAATTAAGTGGTAATCATGTAGAGTTTCAGTAGTAATTTCAAAAGGGTTGTGTAGCAATGAAAATTAATTCAATAGTGATGAATAGTGATAAAACACTACATATGCAGAAGGATGTAGTAATTCCATAGGGATTGTGAAGTCATACAGCAGTAAATGTGTAAGCATTGTGTAGTTATTCAATGATAAATGTGAAGGAATGAGTAGTGATTATATAGTAATTTCCCAAAATCCAATAGTGAGACAGAAGTGATTAAGTGATAATCATGTACAGGTTCAACAGTAATTCAAAAGGGTTTGTGTAGAAATGAAAAGTAATTCAGTAGTGATAAAACACTACATACACAGAAAGATGTAGTAATTCCAAAGGGATTGTGAAAACATACAGCAGTAAATGTGTAAGCATTGTGTAGTTATTCAATAATAAATGTGAAGGAATGAGTAGTGATTATATAGTAATTTCCCAAAATCCAATAGTGAGACAGAAGTGATTAAGTAGGGATGTGCAGGGATTTGAATAGGCATCATGTAGTAATTGTCAGTAGTGATCAGTAGTGAAATCACCCAATACATTACTCATTACTATTCAAATCACTACACAAATCACCACACAGCTCAATAGCAATCAAGTAGTGAAACAGTAGTTTATGTGTAAGTATTTAGTAGTAGTGATGAGTAGTGATTCAGTAGTGTTTTTTCATGAGAGCTCTCTGGAATCTGGCAATATAAGAACCATGATGCTGGGACATTGTGTCACTTCACAGCTGTCCAAAACATGTGGTTTGTGCCAGGCTGACATGATTGGCAGTATTTTTTCATTATTGCAAGAAATTCCATTGACTCATTCACAAGTCAAAAATGTGTTTTATCTGAAAGAAACATGCAATATTTACATCTAAGATAATAGAAAAATAGTCAACCAAGTGCAATGATGTCTTCCAAGATAATATTTGTTTTTCAGTTTCAGTTATATATTGGGGGGACATTTTGGGCATTGGTTGGGGGGCACGTGTCCCCCTCAATGTATATGGTGACTACTGCCCTGTCAGCATTTATAATTAGGCTACAGTTGTCTGGGTGCACTAAGGTGAAGTGGCTGGTCTTGTCATACAAAGTTTGATGGAGTGTCAACTGGACAGTATGGAGGTATTTGCATCTTGAAAGCTGAACTACAAATGTGGATAGACAGGGAGAAACACACGCAAGCCTAAGACGTGGTAAGATACCATATTATTCACTATATGAAGTGACTGATAACAAGATCTGTATAATGGATTGTAAAGAAATTCGTCAGGTTTTTATTTTGTAGACAATCTGGATTTATAGCATAATGGGATGACAGCACAATGATGTGTGTGGTATCACTGGAAAGCTCTGCTCCTGCGCTTTCATGTGATATGTGTGGCATTTCTGTGCGAGCCTGCA